GTTCTGTGATTCTGTGATTCTGTGATGAAAGATACTAGTGTTTATTGCCAAAGACATAATATATACACACATAGAATCAAAGAGCAGTTTTCAGGGAAAGGAGGGCCTTGCAATTATGAGAGCTAGACCTAGTCTTAGCTGGAAACTCGGCCTCTGCTGTACAGTTCCCATGCTATGATGACCAACTAATATGATTTTAATTAAGTTCTATACATATATTAAGTACAATTACATGTACAGTACACATATATATACACATTTCCACCAGGCGTCTTTGCCCTGTTCAGTGTGAAGCACATGTTAAATTAATCAGTGGCTAATCAATTCAGTCTTCAATGTTGAATATATGAGTTTACGATCTATCTATACTCTGTCATCAAAATGGTAACCAAAGCTGACAGCTACTAATTTCCTAATCATTTTTTCTGCCATGCTTGTCATTACATTACCTGAGGGCTTCACAGAAAGTAATTCATTAACCTAGATATTGCTTTGCTGCAAGTAGGTGGAATGACTACATTTAACAGAAGGGAAATTGAAATCAAAAGTCTATTTAAAAAAAAAAATATTTGATTATTATATGATTTTTTGTTCAAAACAGCTTCCATTCAACTTCAGTTGCAGCTATAATAATTAGTATATTTACAATTCAGAATCAACATCTTCTTTCAAACACTCCACATAACTAGCACCACAAAAGTGATGTAGGTGCTGTGAGAATTTGTATACAAACTCTTCAGTAGAAGTAGGACTATAGTCTAGTTCTCTAGTATAATATTCTATTCGACCTCTTCATAAGAGTGCCCTTTCTCACTCTGAATTCTCTGCTTCACTGCTTTCATTGCAAAGGACAAAGAAAGTTGCTGTTATTACACAATTTCAGTTCACACTGGGGGGCAATTCTGTCTTATGCTTCCTTTGTGAATGAAATGTATATCCAATGGAAACAAAAAACCCAAATGAAAAAGAACAACCAAAAAACAAAGAAGCAAACCAAACATAACTGTGCATAATGGCTCACAGAATTCCAAATTAAAATCATGCAGCTATCCCAATTCTGACATTTCCTAATGTTTCATAATGGAGATAACATCTATCCTAATGCACATATCAGTTTCTGGGGAGCAGGCTAGGGACTTTTTAATTTATTTTTGGAGAATTTGGTCTGTTGTGTAGATGGCATATGTTTGAACAAGAAAAGAAAACTGTCAGTAGCCTGTTCAGGATACTTGGGCTAAATTGTCCCAACACAGAAACTCAGATTGCAACGTGAGACACATACACCTGATGAACTGATATACGAAAGGCTGCCTATCCCACATGGCTGAAAAAAAATTAACAAATTTATACAATTGCATTTGTAACCAGACATCATGCTTGCATAATTACATGTTTGCAGATCTGAACAATCTGTTTTTATTTAACAGCAAAGCCCATTTTCTAAAGAAAAAAGAGTCTTAACTAGATGAAGTACAGTTTTCGTATAATGCTTTCCACTGTATTTCAGAAAACAGGCTTACTAGTTGTTTTTTTTCTTTCTTTATTTGTATTAGAACACTTTGATATTATGGAAAATCAGGAAATAAATAGATGAAAAATTGTTTTGAGCAAGGTTCTATGTATTCACATAGTAACATATTTTGGTAACCAAAGAGAAGAAAACTTCACTATGTATAATTCCAGTGCAAGAAATTGGTGAAGGGAGATAAAAACATTCCAAAAATCTCAAATCACTTCTCCCAATTTCCTCTCCTCCAACAGTGACCTCTCCAGTTGTCTACTGTACTCAACGAAATCTCGACTCCAAAGAAGTCTACAGAAATTCTGTGAAGACTTTCAGTGTAATCCATCATCTACTTATAGATCTTACCAATATGTCCCATGAAAAATTCCTTGGAAATGCCTTTCATAGCTCAACAACATATTAATCAGAAAACAGCAAATTTAAAAAAAAAAAAGTTCATTACTAGGTGCAAGTTGTTTCCCAACTGCTCCTTGACTTGAGATTACTCAGAAAGAAGTACATTTCATAAAGGATTTGTCTACATCATACTGCAGTTTCCACTGATAAAAATATCTTCTGAGAACAAGATATTTTTTGTAAGGATAAGAATAAAAGCAAGCACACTTGAATTGCAAATTGTGATAAAAGTCAAAAGGGCAGGATTTTTAAAGAAGTGAAAACATTTTTGTTGAAAACAGATGGAAATAACATACATCTATGTTTCTTTTGTCTATAGAGAGCGTTGCTATCATGGTAGTCATGCAGTTTCCTCCCAGGCTGTCTCTTAGCACTGAAGTCATCATAGAGTTTCGGTAAGGAATGTGGGACCTGTTTTTCTCTGCAAGGGCAATTATTACCTGAAACAATAGTAAGAAAGGAAAAGACATTTAACTTTATATGTTTATTAATGATTAACAAAGAAAGAGAACAAAACAATCTGCTTGGAAACCTAAACGTGTGATACAGCAAAACTCTGCTCATACACCCAGTTAGCTGCAAACCCACTGATTTTATTGAAATAATTTCAACTTAAATTTCAGCATGTTTATATGACTTTGTAGGACCTGGACCTGAAACACCAAATAAATGTCTCATACTTTAGCTTTGCAGCCTCTCAGCAACACAGAAACTGAACACAATAAACTAAAAACCACAGCCATTTCTAAGACACAAGAACTTACTGAAAATCTTCCTCATATTTTTTTCTATCATAATAATAAAGCATGGATAGTATTCAAGTAAAAAATTCCTTAATATTTGCTAAGGCATGCTTTTAAAATTACACCTTCTTAAAGCACATTGTTCTTAGAGGGGTCAATAGATTTATTTCTGAGAAAATGTCTTGAAAAGTAAAACATAAATAAAAGGGTGCATGATTACAGCGTACTACTGGAAAGAAATAATTTAGTTTAGAATATATGTGCATATAGAATATATATGTATATAGGAAATGGTACACCTGCTATTCTCAGTTTCTCTTCCCAGCTGCTTATATTATAGGACTTTATTATTATTAAATAAAAAGATTACCCCATGATTTGTTGTGATAGAAAAGATTTGAACTGTTAACTGGACAAGAACTGTACTGAACAAATGGTAGCTACATGAGTTGCGCAAGCTATCCTAAATGCTTAGGAGCTGTTTTTCCTTTAATAAATGTTACACACCAGCATATATTTTGCTCATGCTGCACTTACTAAAGAAAATTGTTATTTTAGAAAAATTTGCAGCAACTTTTTTGTTGGCAATAGTTTTTCTTAATAGTCCTTAGAAAGTTAAAATATCAATCTTACACTAGCAGGCCTGAGAGTGACAAATGCATAATATAAAAATCACTATCTTTAAAGGGATCTGGAAATTCATTCCTGTATCAAGGTTTTCAAATTCTGTATATTACAACTTGTTAAATGGAAACATGTTATACCTCAGTTTCTGATATTGCATAGAAATCTCATAGTAGTCTAACATATACGTTAATAAGCAGACACCCAGACTCTGCCACACAGAGACTATAACCTGAATATACAAGATTTGAAAAGAGCCTGAGGGAAGATATGTTATTTCCATTAGAAATGGGAACTGTGTTACAGAGAAGTTCATTTCTTTCTGAAGTTCATGCAGGAAGTCTGCAGCCCAGGTAGAATTTGAACCCTCATACACTGGCACTGAAAAGCTGTGACCAGCTCTCATGATGTACTGTTCTGTGACAGAGTCACATTAACACAGATGATGATGATTTTAAGTTCCTTTAGTAAAACCTCACCTAAATCACTAAATCAATCTTGATATCCAATCAAGGAATCTTGAAAGAACTAAGAGAAATCTGAAAGACAGCAAAACGGTGTTCTTTCACAAAATGACAGAGATCACCTGTATAGGATCTGAACCTGAATTTTCTAATGGCCAATCAAGTGTGATAACTAGAAAACTGTATAATTTCCACATTATCAAAAAGAAGGTATTATTATGCTTTTGATATCAAAAAGTTTGTTTGTTTTGTTTTTTAAATACTGGTAGGTCTAAGCTTAAAAGGCCTTAATAATGTTAACTAGGACTGCATTATGCTGATTTAAATCAACACAATTTAAGGCAGAAAGTTTCATTTTGAGTGGTAAAAAAAAGAAACAAAACAGTTTAAGACATAATGAATTTTTTTAAATGTGGAAGCTGTCAGAAATATTGTCATTTTTTGTACAATCACATCCTATATAAAATATAATAGCATATAACAGGTACAATCACTCAGAAATAACTTCACCAAAACATTTGGAAATATTGTTAAACATAAAGGCTTGAGACTCACAAGTGGTTATGATATGATCTGAAGTGTGCACAAGAGTCCCTGTTCCTCTCCACATCCTTTGTGCAAGCAGTAACTTCACATAGGCAATAGATCTGCACCAGTACCTCATGCCAACAGGGAGCCCAGGACATGTTCTCAGTGTCTCCTCAGGAGATGAGGATTTTGAGCTCCATCACCTGCAGATGCAGAGCTATCAGATATATCTATATCTTGCTGTTTAGTCTACCAGATGCTCTGAAGCTATATGCCAGCTCCAGAGGTCTCCTTTTTTCCTGCTGTCTGTCCACAGTCACAAGACCTCTGACAGTGCCTTTGATGCATCTGTAGAATCCTTCCAGATTCCTACCTGACCCCCCTCATTCTCCAGTTAAGTTAAGTTATAATTCAAGAACATGCTACTACATCTTAAAGACAACAAACGTTACCCAGATACGGTAGTAGAGACTTTTATGAGCACCTATGTATCAAATTGCCACGGACAATGAGACTGAGTTGTCCCTACTGCCATTGTAGTTCAACTGCATGACACTATCTCACCATACTTTTGCTCTGGATTTGGATAAAAAGTGCAGATGATTTTTTTTTTTTAAGATTTCTTAGCGCCTTGTGGATATTTAATGAGTAAACCAAGTGTGCTAACACAGAACTGTGTTCCCACTGTCATCCTGACACCAATAATTTTACATGACTATCTTATTATGCAAGTTGTTTAGAAATAGCATAACCCAATACTAACACATTAGTAGACAATTGAATAGTTGAGTATGTAAATAAATTGATTTTGAGGAAGGCTTGTACTTTAACATTAGTCACTGAAAGGTCAAGTTTGAATGGGCCAATCCCCACTAAATAGAAAGACATTTTTTTACTGTGTTCATTGGTCTTCCATTCCATATTAGAAAACATTTTTATTAATGATATGCAATCCTAGACAGAACCCAACACACTTATTTCCAACTGTATTTATTTTGAACTAAGAGATAAAAGTTGCATGAAAAAAATATTAATATTTTACATTCCTACAGCACTTCAAATCTGAATATCTCAAGGCACACTACACTGATTATTAAATTCAATCTCATAGAAACTCATGAAATGATGCATTACAAATACATAAAAATCATTCAGTAAATAAGAAGGATCCTGAGCAGAGTTTGTCTTATTCTGAAGAGGTCTATTTTAGAGTCACTTACCCTTATCACTTCTCATGAGTACAACTGAAATACAGACATTTTACTTCAAGGTAAAATTCAAACAATAGTATGAAAAAAATTCAGTATAATAGCAAATGACTGACTGCCACCTGCTGTGCCTAAACTTCTTTTGACAGATGAAATATACTTGATTAAAGGAAATCTAAGACGTTTGTTCTTGTTACAAGAAAAACACACAAAAAACCCAAAAAACCCTTCTTCTCAGTATGCAGAGCCATCAGTTATATTTCCTAATCTTAATTTTAAAGAATTTTCACATATAAAAACCCTCAAAATTTTCTGTTTTGATGGATTCCCTCAACTGTAATTTTTTCTAAATAACACATACTGGAGTATAAATTAAAAGGAATAAATCTGAATTTCAGAGTTTAACCTTTTTTTTTCTTTCTCCTCTCCACCATTACTCCCACTAAATGACAGCCTCACAGACCTGCTGTTGCCATATATAAAGGTTTTCAAAGAAGTCTTAGGAAAAAAATACTGTATTCTCCAGCAGAACTCAAAACCCCCAGCAAATTTCTGGCAACAGGAACCGGGTTTACTATATTGTGAAAACAATATTATCTATTCAAATTTAGAAAGAACTTCTTTTCTCTTACAGGTGTGAGGTCTGAAACCCACATTTGAAAACCTTCAATGATTGCAACTTCATAGCACAGCATCCACAGAATAGATTTCATTGATTGCCAAGTGTTTCTAACCCTTACTTGGAGTCTTACAGAATTTGAACAGAAAGCATCACAGCAGATCAGGGAGACATACAGGTAACATGCAGTAAGTGTTTATAAATAAGCATAAACATCTTTTAGCAATGCTACAAATACAGAGTCTGGAATACAGACAATGCCTATAAACTTGGTCGAAAGAAAAGAAGACATATTCGAAAAGAAGGTATTAGTGAGAATGAACAGCCTTTGTCATCACAGTTCTCACATTCACAGAAATTATGAGGCATCTTATTTTTTCTAGTTCTGAAAGGAAAATTACTATATCAGATCTGTGAAGGGGAAATAATACAAAATCCGTAATAATAATAATAATGTAAAAATAAAAAAATCCCACCCTGTTATCCAAATCTTTCTACTAGAATGCTTCATCTTCAATATTTCCATTCACCATCACTACTTTACTTTTTCGCTATTTGCCTTTTCCAAAGAGGAAAAATAAGAAGCAACAGTGCAAAGTGGGTAGGGATTTTGGTGTACCTTAAATCAACAAGCTAAACCTTTTTCATTAAAAACAGCTGAATGACAAAAGTTTGTGGAGATTTATTATACTGCAAATGAGTCCTACTGGTATAACCAATTATGGTAGTTTCTCCAGAAATACACTAACAAAGGTAAATCCTGTCTCAGAGAGATCAGATTCACATTAGGACAGGAATAAAACAACACATTGCTAAACGAGAATGCAGTAAGAAGAAACATTTCACAGTATTCTAATTTTACCTGTTCCAAATAATGTAATGACAGGTTGATATATTTTGCTTCTGTCAGTAAGTGACCTCCAACTCCAGTCTTTGCAACACACTCTGATCCAGCAAGGTCTACCAAGTGTAACTTGGAGCATCGAACAGTTGCAGATCCAGGTTCCTTGCTGGAGATGTGAATAGTGAAAATGCAGTGAGATCGGCTTGAGGCTTGATTCATTGGTGTCTACAATGAAAAGGAAGAAAGAGTTCACAATGCCCATTTAATAAATAAATTTAGCTTTTCATAGTTCAAAAATCTCGAAAGTTAAATCACCTATCCAATTTTTTTACATACTACACTTTTTATAAATATGCAAGCAGAACCCAAAAGCTTTTACCTGGCAATCACATTCTGGCCAAATACTTTGATAATTTTCATCTGGACAAATTCCACTGCAAGCAAGCAAGCAACTATCCTTGTTCCAAGATACCTTCACAGTAAGCACATCAGCAAAGCAGCTGGCCTTACTGAGCAGCTGAGGAATACTGCTAGAAAAGGGCACCTTGATCAGAGGGAAATATACTAATTGCTGATCTCCAAGAGTTTACCACGTTCCCCATTAGTAAGCCCATTTTTAAGTTTTTTTGGGTTTTGTTTTTTTTGGTTGGTTGTTTTGGGTTTTTTTCGGCTAGCTAGATACCAGTGTAACTAAGACTATAACTTTCTATGAGGCTTTAGACTTACAGTTTTATTACTTTTATGAAAAAATTGAACTTGACAAAATCAGCATCGGAATTATACGTGGCAGGACAGAGTTCTCATAAAAGGTTTAGCTTTAAATATATTTATTTGAAATAGCTACTGCCATACTTCCTTAATTAGACACATGGAATTTCTTGATCAATTTTTAGAGACGTTCAGATTTAGTATGACTTTAGTGGTGTTCCAAATATATTTGAAATGCAGAACAGAAATGCAGAACAGAAAACCATATGCCACCTTTCTTTTCTTAAACAACATATAAAAAACCCTTTACTCATCTAAAGCCCCTTTCATTTAGTTTTATCAAGCTCTCCAGGGACAATTAAACCTGAAAGAATTCCTTATTATCCTTATTTTATGAATGGCTAAAGCTTTAGAATATATACAGAGATTAGAAGTTTACCATACAAATAGTATTTTTACTTATAAACTATTACAAGTTTGTTGTTGGGGCAGATAAGGCAGTGAAATAAATAAATAAATAAATACTACTGAGTTAGCAACTGAATCTATACCTACTAACAGCTGATTAAAAAAGAAGATTAAAAAAATTCTGGTTAAATTGTATACATTAATCTCTTTTATACTTTATTACCCTGTTATTCTAGATTAAGTATTTATCTAGGCATACCCTGTGATTCAGACTACATATACAAACATATTGCTTTTTTTCCTCCATAGCCTGCTTTGGTATGAAACGTTCTAGATGTTAAAATAGCTGCCCATTGCAGGTGTTGAAGATGTTGTCTTGTTAATCCAGAAAGGACAGCTCTCAACAGAAAGACTGCAAGCTCAGTATTCTTTTACCAGCAATAATACAAACAGCTATACTTTTTGGTTGAATTGTTTCCTCTTCCATTTCCCAACTTTTTTTTCCCCAGCCTTAATAGTGCCAGCACAACTGGACTGTTTTTGGGAACTGATCCAGCTCAAAAAAAACCCAACAAACCTCTAAAGAAAAAAAAGTCTGCAAACCATAGAAATTTAAAATGGACCAGTTTCTCAATTCAGTCAGCTGTAGAAAGCAGTTCTGCTAGAATAACTGAAAATGGCAGCATACAGCATGTGAACTAGTTGCTGGTGTGCAGAAATAGCATACTCTTGTAGGTGTTGGTAAAAATTCTGTAATGAAATTAAAGCCTTAGCACTATTTTATTTTGGGCTGCTTTACCTAATAAAGCCAAGCTCAGGGGGAGAGGGAGAAGCTAATTTTGATCATTTATTTTATACAGACGAGGACTTTTGGCATAACATAGGCAATCCACTGCTTGACTGCCTGGTTTCTAAGGATCATTCAGAGCATCAGAGTGCAGTCACATGCTATGCTATCTACAGAGGTGAAGCTCAACAAATGAAGGGGCAGTGACTTGTAGCATGGCAATGAAAAGAAACAGGCTCAGGGAAAGGTATAGGCCTGCCAAGCTTTGAAAAGCAAGAAATACTCACAAACATATTTAAAATGCAGTTATACTAAGAAAAAGTTGTAAGTTGCTAAAATGTACTTTTTTCAGCAATTCTGACTCCATGAATAACCAGAGCCAGCTTCACTTCTTTTACTAGGAGAGCTAGGATTTTACTATTTGCAGCTCTGTGAAGCAGGACTGGATATTTTATTTTTCCAGCTCAAAATTCACAACAGAGTTAATATTTAAGGACATTCTCAACAGAATTGATATCTAAGGACATTTTGAACTACAGTGATGGCATTGGTCACACTACACTGCAGACAAGTCTAAGCCAGATCGAGTATTAATTCAGGTCTAGCTATGAAAGCACAAAGTAAAGGTTGTATGAAAGAAGCAGAAGAAATCAGCACACTGAAGAATAAATATTTCTAAGCAAACTTGAGTTTCGTTATGCAGCAAAACTTCATGTATTTCAAAATGTGCTTTTAGTCACACCTGTTTAACCCCAACAGAGGCAATAAAATACTAAAGCATAAAAGAAAATAATTTTAGGGGTCTGAGTTCCAAAGCTCAGGGGAATATTTGGCCTATTAGGTCTCTATCATCTATAGCAATACCTTAGCCACAACTCATTTTTCCATGTTCCAAGCAGACTCTGCCGGACTGGTCACTAGAAAATCCATTGCTTTTCTCTCCACAACTTATTTTTTCATGTAAAATGAGCAAAGCTGATTTGCAAGTCATTGGCTAAAATCCTAAACTGTTATTTTTATGAAGTCTTTCTTCCGAGTAGAACCATCTTTTAATTAATACACCAATACTCCTTTTTGCAACATGATTCTATCTTCACTTTGTGCTTCCCACATATTGAAAGCTTTATTACGACTTTTGCAGGAAGTGTGAGGCCATAAAAATTTTAACTGCTAAATGGGATGTGATTGTGAAATGTTAATTGCAGTCATAATCCCCCACACTTTGCTACTTTTACCACACAAGTAGATACAAAGTAAACAGCAACAGACATGGCAACTTGTCACCACCTTCAGTTAAAAAAATAACCTTTTACTTTTCCTTTTTTTTTTGCTATCTTACAGATGCAAATTCGGAGTATCATCATCCAGCTGTTCAGAAAGTTTGTAAACTGAAAACAAACAAAATTTTCTGGACAGTGTCTCAGAGCTTACTAAAAGGTTCCTTCAGTGGCTTTCAGAGTGCATTTTGGCCTTGTTAGCAGTATTCAAACCATATGTATATGAAATCATCCTCACGCTAATTTGATGTGATGAAGGAAAAAAAGAGGGGAGTGGTCAGGCTCTCAGCAGATGGTTGCTATTGTGAAGGTTATATTTAGAACAACTGATGAGCTGCAGTTACTTACGAAGAAATAATATTTTCCAGGAATTCTGTGACATCATAAACCACATAAGCAGACTTCAGATGCTTTGTGATATCACATGAACACTACAAAGGAATTAATGCCAGGTCATACGTTGCTGCTCATTTGTGGCATGGTAAAAGAGGAATTCAATAACATATCTTACAAGATCACACTTTGGTAAAACATCAGTGTTTCGTTTGATGTTGGAAAATATATACAAGAGATATTTCAAGCCATACAGTCCAGTCAGGGCGGTTGGACTGGATGATCTTTCGAGGTCCCTTCCAATTCCTAACACTCAGTGATTCTGTGTGATTCTGTGACCAGGATATACTTGTGTTTGCTGAAATTAACTAAACTGTATAGAAGCTTTGTGACTTAAACCATGACATCTATTCACAGAACAGTTGCAAGAAGGTGTTTTCTAGTTAAATGAGAGTCTGCAGCACAGTCATATTGACAGAAATATCTGAATCTGATTCTTCTTGCAAGGAATACAAGTTCGTGAAAGGTACAAAAACTTGCTGAAGCATAAATTATCCATCTTAATCTAATTGTTAAGTATCTTAAAGTAACAGAACACTGCAGGAGTTCTTCCCTATACAAGAATTTTTGTATCTCCCAAATCCTTTATCTGTTGTAGCTGCTGTTATAAATCTTTTCACTAAGAATAGCCAGAAACAGGACACTACCTGTCTAAGCAAAGTTCCTAATAATTGAGGACCTAAAGAGAAAGTTTCTTAAATAAAGAGAAAAACATGTGAAAAGTTGTTTGAAAATCAACATTAGACCACAGAAGCTGCTACTATCTGGAAGAATAATGTGTTGATTATGGCTGCCAAGCACACTCAGAGAAAATACGGAAAAGAGTTCAGCACAGCTGGAACAAAAAGATTTCACAGGTGATAAATGCACTCATTCAGCCCATATTGCAGACCACCTCCACTCAGCAGTTTATGTAGTCCCAGTACTTAGACATCAGAAGAACATGATTTTCCTGTATGAGTGAAGTAGCATGTAGCCAAGGCATAAATGAGAAAAGGCCAATTCTGAATGTTCCTATTTTTTTTGAGAGAATGTCTCAGTGAAAAGGTACAAAATTTTGTTTTAAGGTCTCCTTTTCCTCTTATGTTTTTCTTTTTATACTTTTGAGCTTTTTGAAGAATGTCAGGGGAAAAGAAAAAAGCACTGATAGGATCCAAGACAGGTATCAGATTAATTTTATCCAGTCTCAAGCTACAGATGGACACCTGTAGGAAGAAGTTCTGAGAGCTTTAGGCATTTCGCAGTTCAGATGGTAAGAAAAAAGTCGTTATGTCCTACAAGACTGAGAACAAAGCAATTCAACACAGTTTGTTTCTCTGGTTAAAATTCATCGTTAGCCTATTCCAGTGTTTTCACATTATTGGTTTATAGCACAGAACATCCTAAATCTACGCAAGGCTGAAAGACCAGAAATTCTTTGTTGAATTATACACTGCCTTTTATCCATACAAGTCCCAAAGCACGTTAAGGACTATTCAAAGTAGTATGTAAGACCATTGAGTGTTTTACCACACATGGAAATGAAAGCACCTGTGCTGAAATGATGATGCCATTTAGTGTTAATAATACCATAGAATAGGTTTGTCAGAGTGGAAATAAATAAACAGTTGACACTAATGAGGAATATAGGAAACCATAAAGTTGCAATGAATCCTGGAATGTAGCTCTAACATGGATAACATGCCTTCTTGGCAAAAGTGTCACCTAATCTCATAAATTCACACATTCAAATCCTATTTTTCATATTTCATCCAAGAAAAAAAAGCAGTCAAACACTACCACTAGTTTTCTAAATATATTCAAGAGAATACTTATGAACAATAAAAATAAATGCAAAGGGATTGAGTTCAAATAAGAGGTCGCAAGTCAGTCCTCACAACTATCTTTAAATGTTTAAAATTTTCATTCTTTCTTGGAATAAACATATATAAACATTGCCAAAAGCTTGTCCCATGTGTACTTCAAACATTTCAAGTGATGGAACAAATACTGCATAGTATGACTCCCAAGTTTAAATAATGGAACATTATAGGTATAAAACCATGCACTAAAACTTTCCTTCCTCATTAAAAAGAAATAATTTTCCATTAGGGGAAAAACAAATGCTAAATCTACATGCAACTGCAGTGTTCAGACATATCAATCTTACAAAAAATTTTACAGCTTTGAAATTGATGCATGCCCTCGGGAGGCTACTGGGTCCACCTTACACTGATAATTTAAGAAAATTCTTAAAAAGTAATAATAATTCTCTAAATCATAGAGGTTCAGGCATATTAATGCAAAGGACAGTGACCACAAGAGATTCCCATCAAAAGAATTTAGAAAAGACCACTTTGGCTTAAAACATATTAATAGTATACCTACTAGAATAAAATGGTTTGTGAACGCTACCTAAATGACCAAACACTTATTATTGTATATGAGCTTTTTTTAGATGCTGCTGCTACCACTTGTGTCATATGTGCAAATAAGATTTTGGAATCCTTTGCTTGCATGTATTTGAGACATGTAAATAATAAAGTTGGCTTAAAAAATTAAAATATAAAAAATAATTTCATATTTTTGTTGCCGAGATTCTTATGCATTCAAATATAACAAGAAACTGTGTTTTATGGGAAAAACAGACAAATAAACAAAACTATAGCCCTTACAGTTGGAAGAGGTTCCAACAAAAGAATCAGCTTTTAGGTTTTTCTTCCTCTGCCCATTTCTCTCCGGCAAAATATAAAAGACAAAAAATTCCTATTTGGATTTTTACATTATGAAATGTTTGTGCACAGATATCTCCCATCTCGCCATTTCTACAACTTGTAGAAAAAACTATGCATGTCAAATCTAGAGCAAAGGATTGGTCCTATACCAACCTATAAACCAATACTGCTCAAATTAGTTTAGCTTCCTCTTTTTGCCTCCTCACAAGCTATAAAATGATGTGTGGGAAAGAAGTATTTGGTTATAAATGTCCCCTTAGGTTCTGACATTTAATAAATGACTGAATGTAGCCTACAGAACACTTTTAATATTATGATCAGTTTCTTTTTACCACAGTCAGTGGTGACCGCAAAATATAGCCCTTGAATCACAAGTTAGACTCTACTAGCAGAGGCATGGCAGAAATTAAAGTGTCATTTTTATTTTCAAAATGGTCCTGCAACTCTTCAAATAAGAGCTATCTCGGGGTAAAGCATCAGACTGCAATTTTAGAGGCTGCAGTTCTGCCACAGTTTTCACGTGTGATCTGTGACAGTCATCTTAGTTTTTCCGTAGTAAAACTCCTCATCATTAAAAAAGATGAATTAAGCATTTGTTTTACTTTCTTTTCTACTTAGGTTTATTCATCTTGTGTCTTTTAAAGTTTACTTAAATAGGGTCCTAATCTTTTTTAAGGTCAAGGTCAAGAAGTGTTATAATTCAATTAGGGCTTAAAAATATGTATCTCTGGAGAAGTTCTGGTTGAAGCCATAAGTCCTCTTCCCTAAACCTCTACATTAATCCCTCATTTCTGCAAACACCATTTTCTCATTTTACTGAGTCATCATATAGAGTACCAAAGTAATCTAAAGCCAAAAATGCCAAATGATGAGTGATAAATTCTGTACTGCTGAAAAGGAAGCAGCACTCAGTAAGCTCAGTGAACTTTACTGCAACATACCTGCTGTATTGCAAACGAACACCATATGAGATAACTACATAAGTAAAACTTCTACAATTAAATGCACCTCATTTGAAGTTTTTGGAATCATATCAGCATTCAGACTAAGCAAAGTAAATATTGCTGCAATAGGTGGCAGCTATTGCAAGCAAGTATTCTTTGCATTTATTTCTTTTAAGAGAAAAAAAATAACCTAAAGGAGATTTTTTTTCATACAACACAATTAAGTAATGGAACTTTGTGTCACACAAGTTTTATGATAAAATTTACTGAGGTTAAAAAAACCATCTGGGTAAATTCATATGAAGAAAAAATACAGCAAGAGTTAATAGCTCAAACACAAACTAATGAAGAGTAGGATTTTTTTTAAGTATCATTATTTATTTGGTTTATCTTTTATTCATTTCTATGTATTTGCTATTGGTTATTGTTCATAATAGGAAACTGAAGCAGACATGTCTTTGGTCAGACTCATTAAGAATATTCTTTTAGTTTTACTGAGCATTCCTTCATCCTGACCTTTAATGACCTATCATCTTCATTAGTCCTGCTATTTGGTCATGAATTCCAGTGTTTGGGATATATTTTCTTTTTAGGCAATGTTTTCCAAATATGTAACACAACTGTCCTTTAAAATTGCTGGTTTACAAGCCTGTCAGCCAGAAGTACATAATTCTTTAAATATTTTGTCTTATTTTCATACACAGCTCCTCTAAACTGAACAGAGATTTCTTGTAGATCTTCCTTCATGCAATTAACTTTCTTTTTATCTTTTCATTACCGATTATCATGAATGCTTTTCAGGCTTCCAGACTCAATGTCATTTTCTTGTCTCCTCTATTACACTTTTCAAAATTCCTCTCCTTTAAATAGTATCTTTTTTTTCCATTTCAATATCATCAAACAGTTCTTTGCCTCAACATCTGTATTTACTAACAGCCCTTAAGTAAAGCTTGATTATGTCTTGCCTTAAGGTCTTTCTGCCTCTCAAAATGTCACTGCTGAAATAGCCTCCCCTAAGAAAGAACGAACAAATCTCTTTTGCCTATTTACATTTTGTAATCAAACACTTCTTCCCCTGTGCCCAGGTGCACATGGTCAGCC